ATACATATATATACATATGTATATATATGTATAAATATATATATATTTATATATAAATATATATATTTATATATTTATACATATATATATATATATATTATATATATATATAAGACCTTCTTCTTCTGAGTGATTTCTTTTGATTTTTTTGTCTTTCCTAGATGTAGTCTGGCTTTAGCAAGAGCAGATCTGCAGTTACTGGCTACGTGGAGCATACAGACAGTATGGTGGTTCTGCGTGGAGTCATCAAGATCGCTTCGCCTCTGCACACCTGGGTGAGTAAAGCGCAACAGGACCCGTACAGTGGTTGTCTGGTCATGTTCCTTCAGGAGGCTTAAGAAAGCGAGAAATGTCAGGGACTGTGTCAAAATAGCTAAAATGTAGCGTAAAGTAAGGACACTATTAGCTGAAGAATACTAAGATAAAAAATCAATTTTAAACATAATACGGCGACAAAGAGACTCACTAGACCAGGCCCTGGATATGACTTGTACAAATTGTGCACATCATATTCTCATGATCCTGTTAAAGAAAATAACGACAACACTCTGGGAAACATCAACACCTCCGAGGCCACCTGCAGTAACAACACCTATGCCTGAGTTTGCCCAGGGGCTCGGACCAGACATGGCAGACGTTAGTCAGTCCATCCCTCCGTGGTGCTCCACATACACCTGCCACTGTCAGTGATGCAGTGATGTTACACAGGGGAGAAAGGTGTTCTATTGAAAACCTGTTGACAACCAGACATAGGCAGAGATACGAAAGAAATCTTTTCAAATATGTGACATTTGTGTGTCCTTCTGCCACTGGACGTTACATACAGATATAATCAAATTAACAATAAAAAAAAAATTACTATAGAATAAAACAGCTAGGTCTGTGATCATCAACTCGCGGCTCGCGGGCTGAATCCGGCCCGTCCGAATCGTCCAATCTGGCATTCTTAAATAAACATCAAATAATAATGTTAGTTATTTTTTATAATTTGTAGAGATAGATTTTTTTTTTTTTTACATTTTTTTCTCTACAATTTCTGGGCTTTTTGGGATTCTTAGGGTATTTTTATTATTATATATATATATATTATATATATATTTTTTTATTACTTTATTTTCCCAATAAAGTATATCAACATTTCTACTGAAATATTCTGCATGTCGCTAATGTTGAAACGGCGATCCGACGCTAATGCCTTTGTAAAGATTCACAACGTATGACGTTAATTTTAACACGGTCAATTGAGGAGCCATTGAAACGTCGCACGAAGCAATCAATGAATCAATGAAATCCAAGTAGACATTATAGGTTTGTTATAAAACAGTGGTTCCCAGCCCTTTATGGAGTACAGACTAGTTTTATGCAGTGCTTTTTTCCCCCCCGACCAGTCGCAGGCCGCAGGTCAACCCCTGTTGGAAAAGAATCATTAATTAAGAAGCTATTGTTTAAATCAGGGGTTGTCAAACATACGGCTCGTGGGCCAAAACGTGGCCCGCTTGGGGTTTCAATCCGGCCTGCTTGATGAATTTGGAAAATGATAAAAAATACACAAATACCTCATGATCATGAAATGTTTTGTAAAATGTATTATTATTATAATTAATTGAAAAAACAATTATATTTCTATATAATATCTATTCCATCTATTCTGTTATTTTTTTATTAATGAACAGTCAACATGACAAATGCCCATTATCTACTCTTTAAATTCAGATCTAATCATTTGATGTCTTTTTTTTTTATTGAAGCTGTAAAATGGCCCGCTCTCCTCAATGACCACATCAAGCTGTTGTAAACGTCCACTTTTAAATGATTAGTATCCTGAAGGGGAGCTGTTTTCCACACATCGATCACGGCTACGACCCCAGGGGTCACTGACGGGCAGTGCTGCATTCACCGCACGTCATCACGGGGTCACCCACAGGTCAGGAGCAGTCTGACTTAAACACATCCGAACAGAGGATCGGCCTCGGTGTGAGGAGAATGACTTCCCGATCGGCGGCAACCTTCGACCTAATAGCGCGGCGCTCGGCTGTCGGTGCGATGACGTTTCAACTTTTTCATATTATTTATGCGATTTATCGCTTGCCAAATTAAAGTCCCCCCCAAAAAAACATGCTGTCTGTCAGGACAAATCCGATTGAGGCGTACACATTAGCTCTTTGTCAGAGATCGACTATTTGACCTGCGTCTGAACTGGCGCCAGCATAAACAATTAAAGTGCTTCATTGAATTTTCTTCCTGCCAGGACCAACTTAGCTCTTAGATTTTGCTGACTTTGAGGGAAGAGGCAGTGGGAAGTCTGTGCTTAGTCAACACCAAAGTGAATATATA